CACACAGGCGTTCTAAAAAATAGAATAGTTTATACTTGTTCGTCTTTCAAATATAATTAGAAATGCGATATACTTTACCTTTATGGCGGTGTGATATCTACATAAGCTAGTACCAAACATCACGCGAAGACGATCGTTTTGGCGTGGTCGATAAATTACTCGCGTACGGAACGGAAGGTGCTCAGATCGATACTTCCCTCCTTCATTGGTGACCTTGGCCGAACAAAAGAACCGCATCCTTCGCGTGCCGCTCTCGTGGCGCCATCTAACCACCGCAAAAGCAACCAAGCTGTCAAACATTGACACAAATAAACCGTCACTCAACAAAACCTTCTCAGATAAATGACGCAATTCTCAAGCCGTCACGCACAATGACGTAACCCACAAGATGACGCAACTGCTCACATGCTCACCACGAATATGGTATAGTTCGTTCGCCTATTCGCCGAATCACTGACATGGGGGTATGTTGCAGTGTGATATCTATATAAACTAGTATCAAACTTCATGCGAAGACAATCGTATTGGCGTGGTCGATAAAGTACTCGCGTACGGAACGGGAGGTGCTCAGATCGAATCTTCCTTCCTTCACTTTTATGTAACTAATGCAAGCAAGTTTCCATTTTTTCAAGTAAAAAAAAATCTATAAGATATTTTATCTATTTCAAAGAGTACTCAATATTTGCAAAAAATATGATCATATTGTATTAATTATAATGTAACCAGAGTTTAAATGTTTATTGTATTTATTTTGTGAATTAATATTCATGGGTTTTTTTTTTTTTTGCTCTGCTGAATTGATTACATTTTTTATCGATTCAAATACTTACTTTCAATTAATTAAATATCGATTTCTGTTTTTATTTTCAACTAACTAAAAATCTATTTTTATGTAGTTAAATTTCACTGATCAAGAGAACAAAATATTATATTAATATAGTTGAAAGGCGAATGAAATAATGTTAGGAAAAAATATTTTTAAACATGCTTTTACTCACGTACGTTATTGTTTTATTTCTTTTATAATGTCATCAGGTACCGCTCTTCTCTCTGGGAAAAAAGCCAGGGTTTTAGCAAGATAGGTTTGGTAGTTACAATAAATGAATATATAACATATAATTATTGACCCTTCGTGTTTTAATGTAATGGAAATAAATTCTTAAAATTAGGTCCTTAGCTATATCACACACACTGTTTGATATACTATTTTATCCACATGATATTTTACAAAAGTTTCATGAAAGTAAATTAAAAATATCATCAAGTATAATCCTAAATAATCCTACTAAATAATTAAAGTAGTGTGAAGAATTAAAGTAAAATTCTTTTATTATATTTTTATTAATTTTTACACGCATTATTTCTCATTTTTTTTTAAAAAAATCATAATCTAGTGAGGTCTAGTTTTTAACTTATTATGAAAAACGTTCGTTTCTAATCATTTGCAATTCACGCAACATTAATAAAATAAAATTTTTAACTAAAATATATTCCAAAGATATTTTAATGAATTTAAACTTTAACTTATCCACTTTAGAAGTCATTTTTAAAATTTTAAATTAATTCATATTTTCCAGGTAAAGAAAAATTAGACGAAAATTAAACGGTTTCCTTCCGTATACTGTTAATGTAAACTATGTATTTTTCGAAAATGAATCAAAAAGAGAATTCGCATTAGTATATATATCATTTTTTATACTTCAATGCAAATTAAACCCTGTTTTAAACAACGATGCAAAATTATATGAAGTCTAATAAAAGCCAAATTATTTTTTTTATTTATAAATATATTAAAAATAATCAATAATTTCAATTACATAAAAAAGGTTAATTTTTAATTGTATAAATAATAAAATAAAATAATATTTTAGAGCTATACTTATTTAAAAGAGTGACATCTGACTTCTGCTTGAATCATTTAAATAATGTGTAAATGCAAGCGAGCGTTTTTAAGAATGTAATTAATATAATTCAGCTGTCAGAGTATTTCTTTATATTTTTATCTATTCAACAAAGTCTCAGAAAGTACGTATTTTGGGATTAATGTTAAATATCTAGCGATTTAAAAAGCATTTATATAAATATGTTGAATATATATGTTGTCTGGATTATTTCATTCGAAAGTATTGTATGAAAAAAACCAAAGAATTTATTGTATTCAAATATTTTTAAAGTATAATGTATGTCACAGCGATTACTTTAAGTTATTCTCAATTCTTCGCAAAAAAAGGGCTCCGATATGCAGACTTTTTTTTAGTAATAAATGTCACACTTAAATAATAATAAATGTTGTTTTTTCATAATACCACCGATCGTCTCTCAGTGCCAGATCTATCTCCACGCAATTCATCACTGCAAAGGATCACATTTACACCTGTCGTTAACTTCAGCTTTGAATACTATTCAGGTGGCAGTACGATTAGGCTTAAACTATTAAGGGGAGTTGGAAACCTCTCTCTTTCTCTATACTTACAATGTTAAATTGGCTGATTTCGATGTAGCTTTTCTCAAAATCTGTGTTTTATGTACATGCTTGAAATTTTTCATACTATTAAAGTACACCTCTCTCATTATACTAAACTGAGCTTTTAGCTAATTTTGAATTTCTTAGTAAATTATGAAATATTTTATCAAACATTGCGAAATTTGACCCATTTTTTACTTAAAAAATTTGTAAAAATAAAATTTTTGAATTTTTTACAAAAAGCTCATTTTAGTATATATTAGACATCATTATAAATAATTCATAAAAAATTTACATACCTGTGAATAGTAGTTTCTCAAAAAGGTACATCGCACATTAAAATTTACATTTTGAGATAAATTGATTTTAATGTATACAGTGAGGCTTCTAATCGACTAGGAAATAAAAAAATAAAAGGCTCAATTTAAAATAAAAGATACATGTTTTGGTTCATATCAGTCGTTACACTTTTAAGCAAAAACAAAGTAATTTGTTTACAATTTTCGCCATTAAAATGGGCGTGGCCCAAATTCAATGATTATTTAAAAATACGTTTTAAGGGCTTCTAAATACTCTAGAGGTTAAAGTATGGTATTTTTAGAAAGGTTAAAATCTATACAGTTTGAAAATGTAAAAATCTCAAATTGTCAAAAAAATAAGATTTTGGCTTTCCAACACCCCTTAATTAATTTTAGAGATAAAAGTAAATTAAACATAACTATTAAAACCACGTTCTTTCAAAAAGCATTTTGCCTATGGAAGCAAAAATATAGCTTCATACTGTATATTTTTTGCCCTTCTGAAAATTATATAAACAATAAATAAAAATTCCTTTTTTCTTGAAAAAAATTATAATTCTTTTTTTTTTGTTGTTGAACGCATCTGTCTCAAATTTTTTATCCTAACATTTCTTAGCGTTTTACTACAGCGTTTCTCAAACTGTGGGGTGCGCCCCCCTTGGGGAGCGGGATAACTGCACGAGTGGGGCACGAGCACATTGAAAAGTTTAAAACAAAAGATTATTCAAAAAATTATTAATTTACTGAAAGTAAACAAACCAAATGCTTTCTGATATAATAAATTATAAAATATACATTTAAGGATATAATATACTTATAAATGAATCAGTACTGTACAATGTATTTTATTATAAATATAAAACAACACTAAGTTAAGAACAAGTGTGATAATTACCAGTGACCCCATGGGCTTGTACTAACACTTATCTTGGTAGTTTTTACGGTTTATAATTAATTCCTTAACTGCTGATTAAAAGTTACGCGATTCGCTCCCCAATGCCACCATTTACCACGTAGACGAGCGTATTTTGATGTTTTTTTGGGGGGGAGGAGAGAAGAGGAATATTTAATCAAAAATTCTTTGAAATAAGTAAATCCTTCTCAAACATTGTCAATGTCCTTTTATTGCATTCCAAAGCCTTCGGAATTATTGTATGGACAGCAGTGAACAGAAAAGATCGTACTTCGGATAAAGGTATAAATACGTCCAGAAAATTAATGCTTTGGCTGAACGAGACGTTTATATACGTCGGTGACACATAAGAGATTAAATTCGTATATATTTTATCTTTAGGGTCAAAGTATAGTATTATTGAATTCAATGCATTGCTATTGCATGGAGGGGGGACGATGCAAGTAATAATTGAATATTGGGTCGTGAATATTGAAAACTTTTAGAAGCATTGTATTACTATATTATGTAAAGTAAGCCACCATCGTCATTAATTGTCAGAATTTTTCATGCGACTATTGGAATCGAATGATTGCAATACCTATACTGATGAAGGAAAATATATTTGGTAATTTATCACTTGTATCCGGAGAGAAGAAATAGACAAAGAAAAACTGTTACTTTAAGCTATTAAACATACATATATGCCAGTGCCTCATAAATTATCGCAGTAATCATTCGATTCTAAAAACAAGTCAAACTGAACTAAATTGGATACTTTGTTAATAAATAAAAGACGAATCAAAGATTTTAAAACGGAAAAACGAAAGATTTTATCAATGACTTATTTTTTGTTCGAAAGATCTTCCAGGATCATGGATCTCAAAAGAAAATACTTCCTTCTCAGACAGAATTTCAAGATATTGAAGTCGCGTGAAAAGAATTCGTTAACTTTTACTTCGTGTCTTATTTTACAAGTATGACTATGCTTAATCTTAGATTTTTACTTTTGACAAATGTTTGCAACTTATTACATGTTATGTTCTTACAGAATTTCATTAGAAAAATAAATAATATATATAAGTACAATTAAGTCACTTCCCACTTAGGGCAACAAAGAATTTTTTTTATTTTAGTTACTTTTTATTAAATAATTACAATTAATATAAATATCTATATACATATCAGAGAATCCCAATATTAAGTGGCAAAATTGAAAGCGATTTTCCATTATATGCATGGTGTTGGAGTATTATGTTTGTTTGTTACTATTTATTCATTAATTAAATTTAATTATTCCAATAATATAGTAGAGTAGAAAGAAATCACATTCTCAGAAATTAGGCCATTGCAGATGTGATTCGAACCCATGATCTTTGGATTAAAAATCCAGCGCGCTACTCTTTGCGCTACAGAGACACAAAGAGTGGCTTTCATTTTTATATATGGTGTTGGACTATTGTTTTTGTTACTGTTTATTCATTTTTAAATTTAATTAATGAATTAATATTTGAAAAAACTGTATTAACATCAAGTGCCATCCGCTACAAATTTAGAAAAAATGTATTTGAACTTGAGTGGATGAATAAATGTGTTTTATTATAACGATTGAAAATTGGAACAAGATATATATATATATATATATATATATATATATATGTGTGTGTGTGTGTGTGTGTGTGTGTGTGGGTGGGAGGGTGGGTGTGTAATAATTCCCTCTAGTATCCTTTTTATTAACTCTTTGTACTAATATTTAAAATATACTTTAACTCTTTGGCTTAAAATTAACATTGTAATTTTAATCGTAATCGGCTAGTCTGAAATCCCTGTCCCATCCATTCTATCTAATCAGAACTACTATTACGTAATAATCACGTGCTTGCACTGCTAATATAAAAGCAAAAATATTGTGTAATCGCTCTCTTTTGTCTGCCTGCCTTCATCATGTAATCAGCCTGCTGCAACGCTTTCTATGTTTTATCTTTGTGTTTGTGCTTGTGCTATGATGTTTGCTTCTTGTATGTACGAGTATAATGCCGTCCCTACTGGATCTTTATGTGTTTCCAGATGTGAATAAAAAAGAATAATGTTTTACGGGAGTGCCTCTTCGATAATACCAAACTCGACCACGCTCCACGTAACACAGAAAATCACACCATCGGCCACACCTTTTCTATGGTTCGCTACAGTAATAACATCCACTCGCCACGTCAAACAATTATTTTTACCACTCTCCAGAAATTTTATAGAAATATTTCATATATATAAGGAGGTTATGATCTAATAGTAGGAACGGAATAAATATATATAGGGGGATTGTGAACCAATAGTTGGAATTGAAAAATCAAGGAACTCTTAAGAACTCTTAAGTTCAAAAGGGATTAATATGGTTGTGTAATAAAAATATGTTAATATTGAGGGATATATTAATTAACCCACACCACAATTATTTTCTACACACTTTGCTATATACAAATTTTCCATTTGTTTTTCTTTACATAATTATTCAAATATATCCCAATATCATCACCAAATCTCACGCCCAGCTGATACCCTCCCCCCTCCCAAGAGAAAATTGCTCCCAGTCAAGCACTTTTATGAATACTAATAATATAAAAAATCTTCTTTCCAAATGGGGGCGTAGCTGTTTTTCGTTATTGCATAATTAACACCCTCCGTCACTTATTCATTATTTCAATTATTCTTACCACTACTCAGCCATAAATAACTTTAAAGTCCTTCTGAAAGATCGCTCTATTACCAGTCTCCAAATCTTCCTCGTTGGCTGCCTTACCGTTCCCTCATAAATAAACGAGTTCCTGCTACCTAATGACAGCAGCGATACCCATGACTGCGACAACGTTCGCTCACGGAAAAGTTAACTAAGTATGGGCCTCGGCGGCATTAATTCGTCATTAATTTGGCCCTCCATTCCCTTCCAGATCGATCCCGGCCCTTCCACTTGTTTTAATGATCTCTTTTAAAGCTTTCGGATTCCTCATTAAGAAGCCAAAGTTAACGGAAGCGCGCGCCCATAGTCCACCCTCCTTTAGCGGCACGAGGAAGTGATTAGTGATCCCCTCCCACCCATTGTCAGGAAGTCGGTTGGAAATCTTATGGAATTCTGCACGGAAATTTGACTTAAGACCCTCCTTGGCAGTTGGTTATTTTTGCTTCAGCGCAATCAGAAAAGAAATGTGGGATTTAATCGGATTTTAATTGCTGAGCTGAAATTGTTCAGAGAGCGTTTTATTCAGAAAACACTAAAGACCATAAGTACAACAACGGGACAACCGTTGCTCAACACAATATTCTTACAACTCGCTGTCGCTGAAACATGTTTTGAAAATGAAAGAAAGGCCCCTGTTCCACGATATTTTCTGAAAAGCATTTCCAGCAAATCGAGAAAAATTCTGCATAACAATATTAACAGATCATCTATAATTAAGTATTTATTGATTTAGAAAATTTAACTTAATTATGCTCTTAAAATTAAAACTATAGATATCTCTTTAGCATGAATTATATTTATATTTTAATATATGAAAAGAATATTCCTCTTAATTATAATATATATTTTTTCTGGTATTTGCCCCATTTTTTTTTTCTTTTTGAGTTGCATAAAATAGCGAAAAGCGATAACATTTTGGAACATACCACTATTCTTATGTGGATGTTACTTTTATCTATTTTTAATAGATTGTTTTTCTGAAATTAATAGAATCTCTCACAATGAATCGTTTAGAAGAATCATATAGGTATATACCTGCTCTAAAAATAAAATGTTTCATTATTTTTTTATATGTTTTACATTATATCAATTCGAGTACTTATTGTTCGTACTTGCAAATGTTTGAAAGAAAACTCATCAATCTTTCCAGCTGTGTTTGCATACAAGTTTTTTATGAGAACTGACTTGAATTCAGAGCAAAATATATATATATACACTGCTGGACAATTGCTAAGGACGGATAACACTATCATCCATAGCAACTACAAAATGAAAGGAAGCAAAATGTGGAAAATTAGAACAAGTGCAGGATATTAGTAAGAAGAAGTATGATAATGCAAATTTTTTCCCACGTCTATTCATCACGTGATAGCGTTCATAAGAGTTTTAAAGGTTTTGACGCGTGTGGACAGTTGTTGTTTCAAATCAAAGTTTTACAGCAAACATTTAATAGACGAACTTAAAATTTTTGACATGTCTTCCCGACATCACATACATGATTTTATGCGTGTCCGAATTATTGGAAAGATCAAAGAGAAGGGCGAACAATAACAGATGTTGCCAGGGAGTTCGACATCGCTCACAGCGTTGTTTCACGCCCGTGGAAGTCATTTACAACTACTGGAATGTGCAGTAGACGGCAGAGGGGAGGTCGTGTTAGAAGTACGACGCCTGCAGAAGACAGATATGTCGTCCTATCAGCAAAAAGGAACAGGCGCACCACAGCTCAGCAGGTGGCAAATCAGTTTCTTGCTGCCTCAGGAAAGCAGATCTCCCGAAAAACTGTTGCCAGACGTTTGAGGGGAGGAGGACTATACGCACGCAGACCTGTTGTGTGTGTCCCATTGACCAAACAGCACCGTACTGCCCGTTTGCAATGGTGTCATGAGCATCACAATTGGACTGAACAGGACTGGGCATGCGTACTCTTCTCAGATGAGAGTAGGTTCAGTCTGTCATCGGATTGTAGACGCCAACTGATCTGGCGCGAGAGTGGTACTGCTTATCGTCCAGAAAATATCCAGGAAAAGGACCGATATTCGACATGCACTATCATGGTGTGGGCCGGCATCATGATCAATGGCCGCACGCGCCTACATGTGGTTGCGAATGGGACTAAGACGGGCCAACGATACATTGAGGAAGTTCTACTTCCTCATGTTCGTCTTTTCCGTGGTGCTGTCGGTGATAAATTTGTTTTTATGGACGACAACGCAACATGTTATCGAACACTCGCTGTTCTGGATTGTCTAGACAGCGAGGGTATTCAACGTCTCGTATGGCCAGCGCGTTCTCCAGATCTAAACCCCATTGAAAATGTGTGGGATGCTTTGGGGAGGCAAGTTGCTGGTCGAAACTATCCTCCGACAAACAAGAATACCCTCATCCGTGCACTCACAGAGGAATGGGATAAATTGCCTCACAGCGGCTGGATAATGTTGCGCAAAGTATGGTACGACGTGTGGAATGTTGCATCACACTCCACGGTGGTCATATCCCGTACTGATACCTTTCTTTAAGGTGCCTGCTGACTTTTAGATGCATCGTTCCATTTCTCCGTACGCAGATCAAATGAACATTTTTTTTTTCTTTCAGATGTTTCACAGCTTTTGTACTTTCCAGAACAATAAATATTCTTTATTCTAATGTCTGAACAGTGTGGCAACTATATTTTATCCTACTAGGCCTCATGTCTCGCTTAATGTTATGCTACATAGCAATTTGTGATCCGTCCTTAGCAATTGTCCAGCAGTGTATATCACACATCTAAACCAGTGCTTCTCAAAATTTCTATACTTGTGACCCATTTTTCAATAATAATTTTCATCGTCCCCCCCTCCATACAACAACAATGTATTGAGTTCAATAATAATGTACTTTGACGTAACTTAATGTAATGTACTTTGACGTACTTGACGTAACTTTAACTATCTAACCGTACAAATTGTCAAATACTAAGATTTTGAATATAATTGCTTGACATGCCTCTAGGGTCACTGGTAATTGTTAAACTAGTTCCTAACTGAGTACTGTTAAACTAATTATGATGCCCATTGTGCAGTGCTGATACTTTTATAACTGTATTGTATCAATATAAATGTGTATTTTATTTTTTATTAAGTCAGAATGTTTTTTTTTTGCTTCCCTTCAGTATATTAATAATTTTCTTAAAATAGCCTTTTATTTTTGATATACTCGAGCCCCCTTTGTAGGGTTATCATACCCCCTTGGTGGGGCGTGCGTGCCCCACAGTTTGAGAAACCATTGTAATATAATCTCGCAATTACTTTCTAACATCTACAATCAACACAATTATCTCAATCATCACTACAATAAAACAAACACGGTCCGTCGTGTTAAAACCTCTTCTAAGGAACTCTATTCTTCGTAAAGCAAATCAAGCTGTATGCGTCGGTTTCTCACTGAAGAAATTTAATTTCCTTCACCCAAAAAACAGTCCAGGGCTTCACGCTTCAAAAAACGATTGACTTTCTCTTGCCCTGACCACCTCGTTCGAGGGTCAATAACCTTATCGCTAAAACACAGTAACCCGCCTACGTAGGTGTGGTGAATCGCGCCAAACATTCCCTAATCTACCGCCAATAGTAGATCAAACACTACAAGACTAATCTAAGCAGTGTTAAAATACTTTTACACGATTGTCCACTTTTTAATAAATCTATA